ATGCTTCCACCATACTTCTCGCCACGTTCACCTTTCGGTTTTGCAGTCGCTCTTGCCTGCTGCAGAATGCAACGCCAGGCTGTCGTGGTCTTCAAACCAAAGAGCATGTGCAACCCCAACTGGAATCGCCCGCCCTTGCATGGGTGAGCCTCCAAAACTCGAGGAGGCGCCCTTGCATGGGTAGGGGCTTTGCATGGGTGAGTCCCCCAAACTTGAGGAGACGCCCTTGCATGTGGCTCGAGTGGGTGGAAGTGCTCCCCAAGTGCTCTTGCATTCTTGCATAAGGAGTGACCATCAGGAGCTCCAGTCATGTCAGCTTTTGTTTGCCAAATTCAACAGGACTGGGGATCAAACCCGTGAGCTCCGTTTGACTCAGTTTCCGCATGGGCTGCCTTGGTCTGAGGATGCCTTGCTCTGCAGCTGATTCCATCATGGGGGCAACCATTGATGCTAACTCCAAGGTGTGGAAACAGTTGCCAGCTGCAGCAGTGACGTGTCCAGCAGTCTTGAAGCAGGACGTGATTGTGGGGTTGTGACCCATGAGGGCCAACCGCTCGCTTGGCACCAGGTACCGGTGAAAACGGTAACCCTGCACATTGTCTTGGTGCAGCCCGTCAGTGCTCAGGATGAAAACCTGGTCTCCTCGGCACCTCAAAGTGGGGCATTTGTCCAAAAAGATCTTCGGCCCATACTCCTTCAAGGGATTCCTGTCAAGTTCCAGCAGCACGAGCTCTGTGTCTGCACCAACCATTTTTCGGGCCAGCTGCTTGTACACTGCCAAGTTTGCCTGTGCATTCGGGGTCAGTGTGCTTATTTGGATGTTTGGTAGCCCGGGAGACAAAACACCCAGGATCGACAGCCGCTGCTGTGCCCGTCCATCGGAGCTGAACTCTCGCAGCCCCCAAGGTGCAGGAAGAGGAGATGTGGGTTCCGCTAAACAGTCTCGCCGAATTCCTCTCAACCACAGCCTCTCACGGTTCTGAGGCAACATATCCGAAGCATTACGGGTGAGCACCTGCAGTTTGAAGTACGGGATTGTGACCTGCAGCTCCTGGGCCACCTGCTTGAGAAACTCATGTCCCTTCAGCTGTGGACTGTTCTCCAAGGCAAAAGCCAGCAACGTTCCACGGCTTGCGAGCTCTTGGATCCACGCCACCACTCTCAGAAAAACATCAGCTCGGCTGTCCAATTCGCCCTGCCGTTTGCCAGCAGCAGAAAAAGGCTGGCAGGGAGGGCCAGACACCAACAGCTCGCAATCTTCCAAAGCATCCAGAGGCAAAGACATAATATCGCCTTCCTTCTGACCGGCATGCACTTTCTGAACCACAGGCAGCCGCTTGCCCATTTCTCGATAAAAAATGAGCAATAGCATCGGAGCTGTCCCAACAGTTGCTCGGCTCGTACAAGCTTTCACAGCCTGAACTCTGCAACCATTGCCTCAAGGCCCCAACGCCTACACATGGCTCGGCAACAGCAATTGGTCGTGCTAGGTACCGCCACACCCGACCGGCACGCCACAGCATCCTCTCCAGGACTTCATCCATTGGCCTGTGGCCGAAATGAAGTCAGGCCGCAGGTGGCTGCAGGAAACACTTCAAGGACTGCAATCTACACGGTGCTGTGCTTGAGTTCGTGAAAGCTTCAGCAATGCATCAGTGCAGCTCTATTCACGGAGCACAGGCTGTCATGAAGGAAGACTTACAATCCTAGCCTCTGCATTATGCACCTGGTGCCGGATTTTTCAACTCAAGGGGTCCAGTCGAACCTGTAGTTCTGGGCATCCTGGCCGTCATCTAGTGCTGGATATCGATCCTGCCACGGCCTTGTTCGCAGCCGAAGGGGTGACACTGGGTCGGGCACTACAACTAACGTCGATTCAAAAATCGGCTGGCTCAGCATGCCTGCTGAGGCTGATCTGGTTTCGAAGCCTTGGCCTGCTCAGGCTGGTCTGGCTCGGAAGGCTTG